ACTTCAGTGCCGTCCCAATTGAAGCGGTGGTCATGCTCAATGGCGTGTGCAAACACGAGGGACAGAGGGTCACGTCGGCGGAGGGCTAACTTGTGTTCGTTAATGCGAGTCCCAAGACATCGGCCTGTATGGCCAATATAAACAGAAGGGCAGTTGGCACACGGTATGCGGTAGATGACGTTACTTAGTTGTTCTTTGGGCACCGGGTCCTTTACTCGGCATAATGTCTCGCGTAGGGAAGATGCGGGCTTATGGGCAATGGATATGCCAAAGCGTTTTAGTTGCCGGGAGAGTGCTTCAGAGATTCCCTGAATGTACGGCAGTGAATAGAATTTCTGTGACGCTCTATCTTCATGAGACTCGGGGTTTGGTAGATGTCTCTGGCGTGTGAGACAGTTCTTTACAAAACTGGCAGGATATCCGTTGGAGCGGAACAACCGATGTAAGTAGGCCAATTCTTTCTTAAGTGCGTCATCACTGTTGCAGGTGCGATAGGCCCGATGGAAAAGAGTGCGGACACAGCTTCGTTTATGGGCCGCAGGATGATTACTCCCATAGTTAAGTATGATTTCGGCACTGGAGTCTTTTCTGTGGACGCTTGTCGCTAGTTTGCCATCACTGAGTCTTTGTATGCTCACATCTAAGAAGGGGAGGGTATCTCCTGTTGCTTCTTCGCGGGTGAACTGTATAGCCGGGAAGACGCTATTTAAGCTCTGATGCAATCGCTCAACTTCCCTGGTCTTTATGATGACAAATGTGTCGTCCACGTAGCGGAGCCACATTTTTGGTTCGAAGGTGTGCACAACATCCTGTTCTAGTCGCTGCAAGACTAGTTCTGCAAGCAGCCCCGATATTGGGGAGTCCATTGGGGTGCCCTTTACTTGTTGATAGAACTTGCCATCGAACTGACAATAATTCTTGAAGCAGAGCTTAAGCATGTCTAGAACATGTGCTGTTGGAATGCCAATGGGACTTTGCTCTAGACATCGGGCTACGCTGTCAATCGCTAGGTCATGCGGTATTGAAGAAAACAGGGCAACAACATCGAACGATAGGATGCATTCGTCAGGACTTACTTCAAGGCCTTGGATCTTTTGTAGGAAAGCCTGAGAATATTTGATGCTGTATTGCGATCCATTTGCGAGGTGCTTTAAGTGTCTGTATAACCACTTGGCAAGGTTGTAAGTAGGGGATCCAATAAGTGGCACAATGATCCTCAGTGGCGCATCTGTCTTGTGCACCTTCGGAAGGCCGTACGCACGTGCGATACGGGGGTCATTGAGGGTCATAGATCTGCTGTCATCGGGGCTTATGAGCTTCAATCGGGCAAGCTCATTCACTTTCTTCTTGATAGTCGCGGCTTGCTTTTTCGTTGGGTCTGCGGCGAGTGATGCATAGGCTTCCCTGTCATCGAAGTTTTGGTTTGCCTTGTTGACGTAATCAACTTTATCCATGATAACGGTTGCTCCTCCTTTGTCAGCAGACATAATAACTATTTTGTCATCTGTCTTTAGCGATCGCAACGCCTTTTTCTCTTCGGCCGGTAGGGTTTGATGATGTTTCCTTTGTCGAAGGAGACCAGTGGCGCAACTGCGAATGTCCGCACACATGTCATCCGGGACGTCTGAGGTCAGAAGGAGGGATTCAAGGTTGGCTAGGAAGTCCGTAGGTGCAGCATCGGTGTGACTGAATCTTATCCCCTTAGACAGGAGGCTTATTTCAGTAGAAGATAGGTCCCTTTTCGAAAGATTAACAACCTTCGTAGACATTCGGTTCTCGCTGGCCGTGCACAAAAGAGATTGTAGTTTCTTTTGCAGGTTGGCCCGTTTCTTCATTCTGGCGTCTTTGGTGGTGGCGTTTATTCGGTGAAGTATTTCTGAAATGACGTTCTCAGGTAAGCACGAGACGCATCGGCTTCTAAGGTCAGAAATAGTTGCTTCAAAGCGGCAAAGACGATGGTGGACGTCGGATATAACGGCACTCAAAACACGAAATCCATACTTGCGCGCAAGTTGTCTTCCGGTCTCATTGGGTAGGGTGGGCTTGAATCGGAGGGACTTAGGTAGGACACCCTGATCGCGACAGCGGTGGAGAAAAGTTAACTGTTCGTAAGTCGTCGCCTGCCTCTGTGCAAATTTCTCCCAACGTCTGGTAAGGATAAGCGTTTGACGCCCAGAAATATGTTGAATAACTGATGTGGTGTGCATTCCGAGATGATATAATGAGAAAGTGAAGGCTCTTCGGAAAATTGAGTTGTACTCGTTTTCACCGCCTCCAACACTGGGAGCCCTAACGGTTCTTCCCTCCCTCCCCCTGCCCCACGGCCTACCATAACTAGGTGCCCACCCCTCTCACACATCTGCTGTCTGTTTGTCGTTGTCTGTCCTGTCGCGCCAGCCGACCTAGTCTGCCGACTTCACTTTCCCTCTGTTCATTTCGTCTGACGACGGGTCGGTGTCACCGACTTGAAAATTTACGAGTACAACTCAATTTTCCGAAGAGCCTTCACTTTCTCATATATATATATATATATATATATATATATCAATCAGGAATGGGCGCACACCGATCTATTGGCTTCACAAAGCAAACAAGCTCCGTATGTGTGGCAAAGGTCACGAACAGGCAACCAATTACCAGGCCGAAGTCGGCCAAGTCATAAAAGCAACGAGGAGGGACGACAGAGAATGCGGGTAGATTGATACAGCACTGTTTCGGGCTTATTCTGCCTTCATTCAGCCAATCATAACCCTGACCACCAGCAGCTGCGACCAGAAACACAAACATGCGCACAGACGCACCTGGCGCAGTCGGTCCACCACTGAGGCCTACCAGATGGGTCATAAGCACTTCATGGAACCGAAGTTCATCAGTGCCTCGCCACCTGTCATTCTCTGTCGCTGCAGATCGGGTATTTATCAATATATATATATATAATATATATATATATATATATATATAGGCAGAATGATATTACCGACAAAGACAAGGGAGAGAGCCCTTAAGGCACAACGGAACGAGTGAGTCCCGTATGAACGATCGGTGAGCGCCCCCTAACATTATATATATATATATATATATATATATTGCTAATAGAAGCGAAGATGCGCGTCCCCGGACATATATCAGAAGAAAAGGCGATCTCGGGAACCATAGTTTTACTGTCCTGACGTTTCAAAAGCATACAAGCTTCCATCGTCGGAGGTGAGTGTGGTATCGCGCCTCACAGTATTTATCGGTGGGTGACAGTCATGTCAAGACGGGTTTTGTTCATACATACGAAGTCAGGGCGGCAGGGAGGAAGGGGCGGGGAGGGAGTCCTAGAGCGTCTTCTCGCCGGATGAAGTGGGAGGGGGCGGTGGATCAGCTTTAGTGGTCACCAGCGCATGCACACAGGGACTGTGGCGGACGGGGGGCGGGAGGGAGGGTGACAGGAGGTACTCAATCTACATCGGGGGCCGGCGTTGAGACGTTGGTGGTCGTCGCCCGTACCTTCATTGACCTTAACTGTCGTCCAAGGCTGGCAATCTTGTTTACGCCGCAACGACTGTCCGTTTTCTCGTCCGCCGGACTAGTAGATGGAACGGCTGTGGTGACGACTGCGTCTTCGTCGGAACCAGGTTGAGGGGTGGCTGAGTGTGCATCCGCCATGGACTCACTCATGTCTGGATTCGTGTTTAGCCTGGGTTCACGTCTGCTCATTTGTTTACTGAGCTGCGCTCGAAGGGCTTGATAGGCAGCGGGAAGAGCCACACAACGGTTGATGGAGGTTGTCCCTGTGTGCCAAGCCTCGATTGTTTCCCTGGCTATGCGGTCGATTCCTCGGCCCAGAATTTTGACATGCTGAAAGGCGAAAGTGTGCCCGGAATCGGCGGCGCAAACAAGATTGCCAGCCTTGGACGACAGTTAAGGTCAATGAAGGTACGGGCGACGACCACCAACGTCTCAACGCCGGCCCCCGATGTAGATTGAGTACCTCCTGTCACCCTCCCTCCCGCCCCCCGTCCGCCTCAGTCCCTGTGTGCATGCGCTGGTGACCACTAAAGCTGATCCACCGCACCCTCCCACTTCATCCGGCGAGAAGACGCTCTAGGACTCCCTCCCCGCCCCTTCCTCCCTGCCGCCCTGACTTCGTATGTATGAACAAAACCCGTCTTGACATGACTGTCACACACCGATAAATACTGTGAGGCGCGATACCACACTCACCTCCGACGATGGAAGATTGTATACTTTTGAAACGTCAGGACAGTAAAACTATGGTTCCCGAGATCGCCTTTACTTCTGATATATATACATATATGCAGAATAACATTACCGACAAAGACAAGGGAGACTGGAATGGCCATTTCTGGCTTATTAGCCGTCGTCAGCCAGCCACACCCAAGCCCGAAGTGTGGAACACCCGAGCCTCGAACTCGCGACCTGTTGGTTTAGAAGTCAACGCCTCTACTCACCGGGCCACGAGCCCGTTGCCTTGTCGGTTTTCGATCGGGAATATACAGTGGTAGGGGGCGCTCACCGATCGTTCATACGGAACTCACTCGTTCCGTTGTGCCTTAAGAGCTCTCTCTCGAGCCCAACCAGCAGCCGCACAGCGGCGCATGATACATAGGCAGAATAACATTACCGACAAAGACAAGGGAGACTGGAATGGCCATTTCTGGCTTATTAGCCGTCGTCAGCCAGCCA